TACATTTTCATCATTTTTTCCTCCTCTCATTTCATGGAAAAACAAACTTGTTGAAAGGTTGAACCAAATTCATCAATAAATTATTGAAGTATCACAAGTGTTATAAAAATAGAGTAAACCCAATATTTCAACATTTACTGCTATTTATTCAATATTCAACTGGTCATAATGAATGTCCAAATTGTGACTTTTTGGTTTCACCAAAAGTTGAATCTTTTCATTGAAAATTGCTTCAAATACATTTGGACATTTCAATTGAGACTTTCAAAGGTTGGAGCAAAAAAGGACAAAAAAGTCTCTGAATTTGGTAAACAAAAACCATCTAAAAGTGAAATGAAATGTTGAATCTGAAAGTTGATTAAACAGATGAATGGTGAAATGTCGAAAATCTTTACCCATTTTTGTACCCAAAAAGTGAAGCAATAAAAAAAAGTTGGTAAGATATTGGAAACAGCTTTTCATCATCAATATATTAATTTTGAAGCTTTTATCAAAATTCATCAGGTAACAAGGTATAACCTTTAATACTGTGTCAACACAATAAAGTGTTACTTTGCAACTTCTGTTGACATAAACATAATTGATAATCTAATAAAGACCCAAACTAGGGTTGAACAAGTTTCAACAATCAAATCAATCTCAATAACGGGAAAGCCTAAAAGTCCCTGTAAATGTGCGCATTTTGTTCATTAATAATCAAGCAATGTGTGTGTGTGGTTGTAAAACCAGTATGAAAAGTCAATAGCATCCAAAAACTGGTAACAAATGTTAATGAGAAGGAAAAAAGATTGAAAATGTTTGCTTGATGGTTAGACACATGTGTTGGGTGTTATTGGTGTTTACAAACTTTTATTTTGTGTTTTTACAATAAATGTGAATAAAGTTATGAGCCTTGGTTGACTATTTAAACAAGGAATGAAGCACAATAGGAAAAACAATGGACAAGTAGCATGTAAAGATGAGGTGAAACTCACCAGGAGATTGAATAAAGGGATTCCAACTGGGTAAGGTTGAGTCTAATCAAAATGCAAGTTACATGATAATACCATTTAAGCTTGAACCTAAAACTAGCAAAATTGAATTGATTGTTAGGCCCAAGATGTATTAATAAAAGAGCAACAACAACAACAAGGCCTAAATCAATTGAAACCTTCTCTATACTAGATTCTGGTTATTAAGTGTTAATCTTGATTAACCACTAATATAATTAAACATTACAACATTAAACGAACTGGTGAACTCGGAAAGAAAAGCGATGAAAGACCAAAAAAATTGATCAAAAAACCTTTACACCATTTTCAATCAATGTTTTTCCTGTTTAATTTGAAACTGGTTTAAAATGTATTTATAGTTGAATGTAAATTTTGAAATTCATCTGTTGATATTCACACTTTTCCTTCAATTGTCATGATTCCCTGGTGCAGGTTGAATAAAAAGCTGAATGGATTCAACAACAAAAAGGTTAACTGTAAACAATAAATAAGAGTTAACATGAAAAAAATTGCCGTCAAATGGGAAAAGTTTCAATGAGTTAAGGAGTAAAGTTTAAGATTAACTTTTAGGATAAATATTTTGCTCTTTACAATAAGTTGAATACAATAGTTTGAAATGTTAAGATTTGACAAAAAAAAGATTGAAAAACATTTGACTTTAGATTCATTCATATTATCATCATCACAATGGATTCTCAATCATAACACCAAATTAATCTCCTTTGAGAATTTGATATTTTCTTCTATTTTTTCATCATTCCCAGTTGAACGCATTTTCCTATTTTATTAGGTCATCTCTTTCAAGTTTCATGATAAACAATTGAAAAGTGTGGAATAAGCTCTTTTTTTGTAAAACTTCAACTTTCAAATTGAGAAGAAAATCAATTGTTCTCAACATTTACTCATTGAGAATGAAAATTCAAATTTTCAGGTAAAGAAATTATTCCAATGACTTTTCCAATTCTTGGTTTGAAAATGATTTTTTTTCTGGTCACAACTGGTTAAACCTTTTCTGGTCTCGGTGTTTATGAGCAGAAACTTGATGATTGTCACATCTGTAATTGATAATCATTTTGCGCAGATGATTTTATCTGTTTTTTTTTTGCCATAAAAGCAACAATTAATGTCTATTGTTGAGTTAATAGAAAGCCAATGAAACAGCTTTAATAACTCATCTGTCTACCTGCATAATCACTCTACCATCATTACACGATTAATGATCATTTCAAAGCTCAATCAGATAATCATTTTGCCAGTAAACAGCAACTGATAAGTTGAAAGGTGAAGATGAGATTCAGTTTCAACAATAAGATTGAGAAGCAGAAAAGCCAACAAAATGTTTCTGTTGAAAAACTGGAAAAAATTGAGATTCATGAGAATTATAAAAAGCAGACTTTGTCAATGTTCAAATGATCGTAAACAGTTTGGTAAAAGTTGAAATTATCATAACCATGAATTTATGGAAGAATGGAAACATTGAATGGATTAGTTGAAATTATTCAACTTAATTTAACAAGTTTCCTCCAGAAAATTATCACTTTTTTCAGGATAATTTTCTGGCTTTTTTAGGTTTTTGTTTCACTTGCTTTGTTTTATACATTTAATAATGACAATGAAAGTTTTTATTTTGCTATTTAGTGCTGAGAATCTAATTGAAATCTAATTTGTATTCAAGTGGACCACTTTTGTTAGCCTTTTGTCTCCAAGTTTAAACTCAACATTTTCATGATTATTATCATTTTTATTGAGAGTCCAATAGTGAAACTCGCCTAGTCATCTATTATCTTATGAATATGATAATCATAAATGTCAAAGGAAACATTGAAACAACTTGAATGGAAAAATCGGAAAAGCTGAGATTCCATCAAAGTGTTTCCATTCACTGAATTTTAAGGAAAATAAATTTTCTTCATTTTCGATATTTTCTTTGAGGAGAAAATTAAAAGGTTGGAATTTTGGTTTTCAAGAATTTTCATGGTAAATCAGATATTCGAGAATTGCTTTCATTTCTGAATGAATTATGAACAACTTTCAAGATTAGTCAACTTTTTAGTTCTTGAATGTTTCTGTGGTTTTTGTTTGATGATGCAAACTGAATTGAATTGGACATTGATTTGTGTTCATTTTGTGAAAAGACTTTCATGAAATGCCAGTCAATATTGAACTAATTGGAGGAAATGATGACAACAGAAAAGATAATTAGTGTTAAAGTTAACTCATAATCATGAATTGAAATTGAGCATTCACTTTGAAATGACATTATTCTTGTTTATTTAATTATTTGTTGCTTACTTTTTTTTGTTTCATTTTCATGTTTGTTCACTTGCCTTTCATTTAATCAATTTTCAGGGTAATCAGTTAATCAACAATGAACAGAGCAACTGGTTAAATGAAGTAAATTGAGGGGAAAACGAGGAAACAAAAGGTAAAAAATAGGACTAAATTAGAGTGAAAAAAGGTGTATAATAATTAAAGCAATTGATTAAAAAGCAAAGTAAATTGGAAAAAAGGTTAACTCTTTGACAGTGAAACTGGACTTTTGTGCAAGTTTATATTGATTTGACTAGCAATAATTGACTTAATCACTTCAAGTCCACTGACAATTGAAGGGTAAAAACAATGAAAGGTAAACTGATTGGAATGATTTTCAAGAGGAAAAAAAACAAATTGAATTTAGTTTACCTTTTAATTGTACAATATTGATGATGATGAAGTAAATTTGTCAACTGGTTTTGATTGTCTTTATAATGAAAATTGATTAACCCTCAGCTTTAAATAGGCAAATACAATTTGATTTGGACTCGAGAAATTGCCTTTTATTCAGTTAATTGGAGATAATTTCAATGCTAATTAATGATAACTTTGATTTGATTCAAACTTTGATTTCTCTTGATTAGATTGACATAATAGATGAAACAACAATTAACAATGTCAGGTAATCAACTAAATTAGATTTAGTTTCCTTTTCTTAATTTGTTTTCTTCGCCTTTACCCTTTTCCTTTGCCTTCTTGTCGCATATTTTATTCATGTTCATGTAAATGTGTATTCACTTGTTCAACCTTTTCATCAGTCAAACTGATTGTTGATCATCTTGAACAAACAATTAGTTAACCTGGAATCAATGAGAATTGAAAATTACCTTTTAATCACTTTTTTCCTATTGTCTTTACCATCATTGACTGTCTTTTCAATAGGAATGTAAATTTGGAAACTGTTTTGGGTTCAGCTTTTTTTGGGTTTTGTTGTTTTTTTTTGCCTGTGATCTTTATTATTAGCGTGATAATCAAACTAAATGGTTTTATGATTTACTGTCATTATTAGTTTATTATTGTGGTCATCATCACGAAATGACAATCAATATATATTGTAACATTTGTGATGACAATTGAGTTATCATAAGAATAGGAATGGAGACGAAAGACGGAAAGAAAAACAAAATATATTTGTATATAATATAATAAGGTTTATTGATGATGATGAGAAACAAATACAAGATGATGATGAAGATAGAAAAGAGAGAGGAAAGAGAAGAAAGAGAAGAAATGATAAAGATGGAAATTGTGAAGTTGAACGATGGAATAGGCAAGATAAATGGTTTTTTTGCGGTGAATCTATTTAATTACAAGTCTAATATTTGATTTGATGTCAGCTTTTAATCATTGATTGTTCTTTCTGTCTTTCAATTATTTCCCCTTCCTAATACTCTAACATCATCACCGTCATCGTCATCATTAACTGTCGATGTTGTATATTTTTACAACATTCAGAAATCTATTGAAATCTATGTAGAGTAAACCATGAGTCACAAGAATTGCGTTTATTTAACCGGTTAAGAGGCACTGAAATGGCCTTTACTTTGTTAATAAAGTGTGATTGGTTTGAAATTATGTCACAGGTTAAGCAAGTCAAGAGTTACTTTGGTTTCTGTTGGTAAAAACTGGTAAAAATAATGACCGATGTCTCATTGGGTTTAGAGTCTTGCAAATGTAAAGACAAAAGGTACTTACCGGTTTATAATGTGTTGAGATGGTTTCCAAAGATCAACATTTAATCAGAAAAAGAAAATTTTGGTTCCGTTTGGTTATAATACAAGGTTACCGGAAATAAGAATGATAAAACACACCAAGAAAAGGTACTTTTTGTTGTTTCCGTGGATGAAAAATGGAGACGGAAAAATGATGATTACTGTTTGGGTAAAGTTGTGAAGACGATCACTTTTTAAATGGTGAATTTTGTGGGTTTTGTTTGGTTTCCGATTGGTTTAACCGTTAAACTGAAATGATTTGTTCGTTAGGTTGATTGTTGTAAAACAAATGTTGTTAATTACACTTAGAGTTTGGATGATTGACAGTGGAAACGTAAACTTCGAAAAATAAAAATTGAAATGTTTGGTCAGAAATGAAAAGAGGTTGAAAATTACGTTTAAATTTGAAGCCACTTTAGGAATCAAATTTGTATTTTGATTATTAGACTTTGTGTGACAGGCAAAAAGTTGAACTCGAAGTGAAAGTAAAAACTAGGAAAAAAACAGTTATAACAGTTAGACTCTGTTGCTTACACCATCAACAGGTATAACATTCAACTGGTTACAATTGCCATTGAATTTTACTTTACCTGCCATCTAGTTTGATGGCTTTCATGTAATTTTGGCAATTCTGTGAAAAATTTCATTCGAAAAGGCCGCCTTTATTTTATCTGGTTACCATCCCCTTGGTATCCATTGGATACAGCATTTTAAGACAAAAATTTTTCTCTCTGTTTCTGCATTTAATTTACACACGTGTTGACTTTTTTTTGTATTTAATTTAATTGCTTTAATTAAGCAATTGTTTTGTGTTTATGGGGTTTTTTATATTATAAGTTATACTAATTTATTGAATTTCAGTTTGTTTTGATTGTTCCAAGAATGGCTAAAACTAGGAAATCGGATAAAAATACACCTACTCGGATCGGTTTACAAAAGGGTAACCATTCTCTTAACCCTGATCGTCCTAGGGATCCTAATCAAACACATTTACGAGATAAAGCAACTATCAAAAGACTTTTGGTTTATAAAAATTGTAAACCAATAAGGAATAGGAAAGGTAAAATTGTGAAAGCTGCTCCGTTTCAAGACTGGCTTCCATCGGGAAGTGTATCTAGAATTGCTCCAAATCAGAAATGGTTCAACAATACCAGGACAATCACTCAAACAGCTCTACAGTCTTTCCAAGATGAATTGGGAAAAGTTATTAATGATCCTTACCAAGTTGTTATGAGACAAACCAATCTGCCAATTACTCTTTTAAATGAGAAAGCAAAGAATACTAATGTTCATATTCTTGAAACTGAAACATTTTCTAATACCTTTGGTCCAAAGTCTCAAAGGAAAAGGCCTAACCTCAAAATATCTGATTTATCTGAATTGGTAAATGCTGCTCAGAGCAAAGCGACGGAATATAAACCTGAAGAGGACAAAGATTTGCTTAGTGAAGAATTTATACCAAAGGATGAGCAGAGAGAAGCAATAATGAAGAAAGGTATTTCGATTATCATTTGTTTGTCTCTGTTTTAGTTACAATTTTTTTTATTATTTCCTTTTCTAGGTACATCAAGACGTATCTGGGGAGAACTTTATAAAGTAATTGACTCCAGCGATGTGATCATAGAGGTTTTAGATGCTCGTAATCCACTTGGTACAAGATGTCAACATGTAGAGAAGTTTTTGAAAAAAGAGAAGCCGCACAAGCATCTTGTGCTTCTGTTAAATAAGTGTGATTTAGTACCTGTTTGGGTGACACAAAGATGGGTTACTATACTATCGCAAGAATATCCAACGATGGCCTTCCATTCCTCTATTAAGAACTCTTTTGGTAAAGGTGCTTTAATTAACCTATTACGACAATTTGGTAAACTACACAGTGACAAAAAACAAATCAGCATTGGGCTCATTGGATATCCAAATGTTGGTAAAAGTTCTGTTATCAATACACTCAGAGCCAAAAAAGTGTGTAATGTTGCGCCTATTGCTGGAGAGACGAAAGTTTGGCAGTTCATTACTTTAATGAAAAAAATATTTTTAATTGACTGTCCTGGAATTGTTTATCCAACTAGTGATAGTGATACAGAAATTGTTTTGAAAGGTGTGGTGAGAGTTGAAAATATCAAAGCCCCAGAAGAACACATTGGTGAAGTCTTGAAAAGAGTGAAAAAGGAATATATTGTCAAAACATATAAAATCGATGAGTGGGAAAGTACTGAAGATTTTCTTGAAAAGCTGTGTCGACGTACTGGAAGGTTGCTGAAACGTGCTGAACCTGATATATCAACAGTCTCCAGAATGGTACTCAATGATTTTCAACGTGGTAAACTTCCTTATTTCGTTAAACCTCCAACTCTTGACGGAACAAATGAAGAGAAATCAGATAAAACTGAAACTCAAGAATCTTCAGGTGAAAATGTAACAACTGAACCTTCAGAAATTTCAATCGTTAAACAAAAACTTGCTAAGATTCAGGTTGAGCCTGAATTCAGTGGAGACGATGTTAAAACAATAGAAGAAGAAGAAGGACCAGTCTTCGATTCCGATGATGAAAATGCTGAAAATGAAGAAGATGATGAAGCTGAGGAAGCTGAAGGCGATGAAGATGATTTATCAAGTGAAGAAGAGACGCTGAAAGAGTTCATGGCTCCTCAAGATAGCAAAAAACGTAAAGCTGATAGTGATGAAGAAGCATCGACTAGTAAATTGACCTCCAAACAAAAACGAGCCTTAGAAAGGGCCAAAAAATCAAAGAAGATCGGTGTTCACTTCTACCAAAAGGTTGATGTTAAAGGTCGAAGATCGAGTAAAAAGAAGCAAAATGATTAGCTTGCCAATGGCTCTTAAATCGTTATACACCATCATGTTTGTTTGTCAATAAATTTATACAACAATCCTTTAATTGTAGTATTTTTATTCATTTCTTCCTGTAAATTAATACATTTAATTGTTTAAATTAATCAGTTTTACTAATTTTTCTTGAGCATCAAAAAAGATTTCAACTTATATTCAAATTCCCTCGCTAACCTCAAGTTGTTATGGTTACAAGTGTAGTGTATGTTGTGTCAATCAGTTGCTATCGAGTTTTTAGTTTGAAATTGAATTTACCATGTCATTTAAAAATGGTTTTGCTTAAACATAAATTGACTATAATTATAATTGTTTGGTATTTTTTTAGCTGTACAACTCTTTTTCTTAACAAATACATTCTTTCCTACCTCAATGGAGACCCAACAATATTAGGTAAGTACAAATTCATGTTAAATCTTTCAACATTTTAAACTCTTTCCTTTCAGGTTCTCTCCAGTTGATTATTTGTGCCATTTGTGGTTACGCTCATCTTCAATTTCCAACTAGTTTTTTGGCAACAAATCCGATAAAGGATGAAGTTCGTAAGCCCGTTTCATGGGACAATTTTTCTAGTAATCTTATTCTAATAGGATGTTTAAGGTAAGTAAATGAGTCATTACTAATGACTGAATCTTTTGCTTTATCAGTGACCAGTTTTTCATTAATTCAACCTTTATTTTTGTCATGCCACAGGTATTCCACTATCATTTTAGGTTTATACGCTCTTTGGTATGTCCCTGTTTCTTTTGCTGAGACAGTTAAAAGTTCAGCGCCAGTTTTCACTGTGTTCATTTCATGGATTTTAATTGGCGAAACAACCACTACTTTTACCAAACTTTCTTTAATACCTGTTATGTCTGGATTAGCTATTTGTTCAGCTTATGAATTAAGCTTCAGTTTTACCGGCTTAGTTGTTTCACTATCAACAAACCTATCTGAATGTCTACAAAATGTTTATTCCAAAAAGCTACTTCGTTTTCATGAGCCAGCTGAAATGCAATTTTATTCAAGCACTTCGTCGTTATTGTTGCAGATTCCATGCATATTTTTTATGGTCGACTTTGGTCAAGTTTGGAATGCTTTAATGGAGGACAGTAATCTATGTTTGTCGTTTTTGTTGAGCGGTATTTCCTTTCATCTTCAAAGTTTATCTGAATATTTATTATTGAATTTTATATCACCAGTTACTCATAGGTACGTGGCAACTTCTGTCTTTTCAACATTATCAACCTCATTTTAATATGTGTTCACTCATCTGATAAAACAATTCAAGATCCTTGATCATATTGATTTGAGCCTTCATAAAATTGAATGCAATTAAAATGATCAATCTTCTCAATGTTTCGTAATATCTGTAGTATCACGTTGATTGTTCAATCATCACTTTCTGATTGCTCATATATTATAGAGTATTGAAAGGAAAATAATTTGTTATTGCAATCCATCATAGAAACAACTCTAATCATCTGTTCATCAAATTAACTCGTCATGACAACCCAAATTTTCCCATTTCCTTCAAACTGAAAACAACTAAAGAACACATGAGTGAAGTTCTTTAAATGTTCATCATTTTCAGAAATATTCATTTGATTTCAGATTGATCAGCTATTAATTTTTTTTGTTTCTTTTCATTCTTAGTGTTGCAAATACAGCTAAAAGAGCGCTTTTGATCTGGCTATCTGTGATAATTTTTAGCAATCCAGTGACGTACCTAAGTTGGCTTGGAACTGCAATTGTAATTTTGGGTGTCCTTTTGTACAACAAGGCACGATCTTATGACGGGAAAACAACGAATCTGGTTTACAAGAGCATCGACCCTTCTCATATTATTTAACAAAGATTTTTTAATTTCTGAAGTGTAGAGTTTTCTATTTTTAATCTCTAAACGGTGAAACGAATGAGATGCTTTTACCAATGAATGTGGATAAAATTTAACCGGCATCCACAATCGAATTTGTTAATCAAAGTTTATTTACCTTGTGATAATCTCTATTTTTGACCCCATGACCAAAGAAACTAAAAGTAGAGAAGAAGATAACTAATAAATCCTGACAATTTTTTCATATAAACACATTCCCAAAATCATTATACAACCATGTAACTGTGATTAATATTGACAAGGTTGAAGAATGAAAACTATCTTAATATGAAAGGTTAAAGATATCATTTCAATTGTTTTTTAAATCTATTGATTTCATAAATACATGTGATTAGTCCATGTAAACTTGGAAGTATTGACGATGGAAGTCACGATGTTTACCAAATTATACTTGCGTATTCACAAGCTGATTATGAAGCATTAAAAGAAATGGTTGTTGATCAAAGTCAATCAATGTTTTCCAGGAAACAATTCTCATGGAATAAACACGCTCTTCAGGACCGAAGTCGAGTTGACTATTCCAAAGTCGATAGTGTCGAGCATAATACAAAAGCATCATCTTTACAGAAAGGCCTATCGGTAGCATGAAAACGGTATCTAGACTGACAGTACCCAAAGATCAAGTTTAGCACTGGCTGTAACCCAACTAAACATTTCCACTAAAATAACAGCTAGTGGCTAGAAATAAATAAATGTTGAATATTTCTATTTTTTATCTTAAATTGTAATCGAATAGAAGAAACTGTCTTCATTAAAACCTCTGACTTCCCATGATTTCTTGCTTGAAATTGGCTTATCTTTTCCATCGCATACTGAATCAAAATAGTGACTTGAATCTTAGGCTCAAGCCATTTCTATAACAGCAAAAAAGTGGCGAAAAATCTACACTTTTCAATGATTAGCATAACGCTGGAATTATCATAATGTTGAGAGCAAAAATGCTCATATTTCTAGATATTCTTGAGATCGGATTCCATTAAAAGGTCACAATAATCCGATTAGGATCCAATTTTTTTCTTTCCGCATTTTTCCTTTTTCTGTACAAAAAATAAATGCTATTTTTTACCTGTTTATACACAAGATGAGGACAAAAAACTCTTGCTTTAAAGAGATTCAAAAATTTTGTCATACATTCAAAGTAAGATGATAATTCTTGTGAATTAATCAGAAAAAGATTTCAGCCTTTTCATGTTCACACTTTTGTCATGACTTGAGTTAACCTTTTTTCTTGAGCAAAATCAAACATTGACATTATTTATTAAAAGATAACACTTTTGAGGATGAAAAATGTTATCCAATTTTAATCGCAGTATTACATTAGATAATATTGTAAAGCAAATGTAAATTGTTATCGAATAAATTATGTTAACTCAATTGCTGAGATCGCATCTGAAAAGACATCAACTATTGCAGTTAAACTCAATTTTCATCTTCTCACTATTCAATTGATACCAGAATGATTATTATCATCATCACGCTATTCATATAACTGATTGTTACAAATCAAGATTTACTGACAAAAACAAGTCACAAAATAATTCTTGGTTTCCATTTCCAGGTTCAAAAGGTTCAACAAAAGCTACATTATTCAGTTTAAATGGATCAAATTTATGAAACCAATTAATTATTCAACATTGACACTAAATAATAATAATTAAACAATTTATTCCTTTTCCAGTAAGACTTGATTAAGATAAATATATTTCTCAAATCCCAAAACCAACTAGACTGTCAAATGAAAAGCCAGAAAAGTCTGCTTTAGTACAACTTTAAGCATTTGTTTTTCAATGCAAATATTAATACAAATGGATCTTCAATGAAGTACCAGAATGAAACACTTTTCATATTTCACTATTCATAGTTCATTCCGTTTCATCCCATGCAACAAATGAGTCAAATTACATGTATTAGTCAAGTTAACTTAACAAGCTTGCTACAAATACACTGGCTGTACTGGTTGTACTTGGCTTTGGAAAACCTCAAGAAACTGGTGTTGACTGGAGTTCGTGTAAATGTGTTGAGGAATCATGAAGAAAATTATTCTGCTTTCGAGGAATAGACAAATTTTTTCCCATTTTTCACTGAAATATCTGCTAATCTCTTAGTCAATTGACATTTTTTCTTGGAATCCTCAAATTCTTGTAAAAATATCGGCCATCATTTCATGCATCAAAATTAGCACGCATTTTCAATATTAACAATTGAAATATTACAGTTTCGGTGAAATGTTTATAATCTTGTCGATATTAATGAATTTAATTTAATTTTAGCTGTTAATTGTTTGCCCTGACCAGGGCAAGATAAACTAACTCAGAGTCTAACGATTCTGATGCTGACGGTTCGAGTCCGGTCAGGGTGTTACATTTACCTTTTCCGTTTACTTTTCGGATTATCCTTACGATTACAACCCGTAGGGATAATCCCTAATTTTTTGGAGAAGCAAATGAACATTTTTTATTTTTGATTCGAGTTGAGACCTGGTGAGCTTGATCCATAAAAGTTCATTTGCACATTCAGAGTATTATCAATAGTATTTGATAGAATAGCGTTCCAAATTCAAACGGCAACGCATTAGATTATGATTCCGTATTTTTATATTAAACTGATTTTTCTAATAATTTTTTATGGAAATTTTCCAAATGCAAACCATGTTTTTTTCGTTTCTCGAACCTAGAATCAAAAAATTTTCAGAAATAATCTCAGATCACAACCTGACCATAACAAATTGTTCAGTTTATATTCACAGAATTTTGATTTACCCAAATAACCTAAAGTATTGTTCCAAGTGAAGAAAAGAATTAGAGAAAATTCTTTGAATTTTAATTCTAAAAATTGTTGTTGAAACTAGTGCATGGCAAGCATGTAATAAAACTCTTAACTTTTACTATTATTTCTTATTCTGCTTGAATAATCTTCAATATCTTTACAATGAACATGAATATTTAAAGATATTAGCATGATAATACTTTGTAACATTTTTTGTGAGTTGAACAACAGCAAAAAAAAGGTAGAGATAAATATTAACAACTGTAACTGGCATAAAGTAGGTAAAAGGAGGAAAAAGAAATGAAGGTTGAATGAAATGTCTCAACACAATCATGATCTTCCTGGAGATCAGTGGAAAGAAAAAGGTGAATGAATTGATGATAGACTTTAATATCAATAAATGTCCAACTCTTGAACAGCATTAAGCAAATTACAGAAGCGCAAACACAGACATTTGTGTGTTCACCAGGAAACAAAAGAAAAGGCTGCGAAGAGTTGATTAGCTAATTTATCAAAATTATCATTTCGCGTCTCTAAATGTTAATTCATTTATTATCATCTTGCAAGACGATAATAGATTAACACATCATTACCTGGCCATGCTATTCTGATTATGGACAATAGTAACAATGAAAATTGTTTGTTATCAATAATAAGAATGTAAATGTTAATCAAGTTGATGATGATGAAGTAAAAGTTAATACAATAACAAGCAAAAAGGCAACAAAAGTGAAGAGGAGAAACAATTGGACCGTTCAGTTATTACAGTTGAAACGAGCAGATCTGTTGATGATGATGATCATCATCATGATGGAAATAAGTGTCTTCATTGAATGTTGAGAAACACGCATAACACTGAACAGTTGATGAAATTTTCATCATCAACAGATTCCATCGAGAATTGTGTGAAAAATGTTTCCCTTTTTTGGGTTAGACACGCAAAGGTGAGAGCAGAGAAGAGCAAAAATGTTGCAAAAAGTCACCCAAACTCTTGCATCTTAATCATGATCTTATTTAAATTTTCATCTTTTACTTCAGCTAATGAATCACTGTTATTCAGTAAAACGTCTTCTCTGTCATCTTATAAGCTTTTCAAATGTTGCACATTGAGTTACATCAAGATGAATGTTCAATTATAATCTTGGTTAAAAAGTTAGCCTTAAAAAAAAGTCTGAAGAAATGAGGAAAAGTCAGACTAATTACCTCTAATTATAACCATCATTAATATAATTTCATTTAATTAAATTTTGTTTCACTTCATCTTCTCAACTATTGCATTTGTTGATCATTTACTTTGAACCATTAATCGTAAAGTATTACAATTGGCTTTTCCTTTTTAAGAAATGATTATAACTTTGATATTCAACTTGCTGGTTGTTGGTTGCTGGGAGTTTCAAGTTGTTTGTCAAGAGTTGACCAATTGATGCAGGTAAATGTTGGTTTTGGATGAGGAAAAATGTTTGTAATTAGAATTGAAAATGTTGATAGAAAAAGCGATTCGTAAACTTTGCAAGTTTAGTTTCTATGGTTTTTGGTGAATCGATGAGGATGATGAGGAAAAAAAAGGATGAGGATAAAGCTGGCAAGAGGCAATGATTAAACCTTTACTCATCGTACCTTCGTCTAGATCAACTAATTCAACTTTGACAAAATCATCATTTTTTTGTGTCTCTTCACTAACGAACCAGAAAAGACAGAAAACTCTGAAAACCAGAAAAATTGGTATTTCTTTTTTTTTTGATTCTTTCAAAGGTATCAAAGGTAAGAAATAATAATCACACCAAGATGGGAAGAAGATGATGAAAAAAGGATTTGTCATTATTTTATTTTCTTTTAGATATAAAGTTGATCGTATTTGTTTAGCTAAAAATGCTTGAGAAAAGCAACAATCTAAAGCTGAGTGAAGCTTTATTGCTCATTTTCATTGTGTTGAACCTGAATGCTTTTAAATGCCTGTAAATCTCAAAAGTAACAGGAAAAAGGTTAAATGGAATCAAGAAAAGACAACAATAGCGACAAAAAAAGGAATCGCTTTAATTGTCATTCTGATGATAAAACTCTAAAATGATGAACATGAAGAGACATTTCAACACTTCACTTCATACTGTTTACCCAATTGAACCTGTATACTTTACAAGAGAGGTTCAATAAAGCTTTAAAGTGTTCAAATTGAGCTGAGAACTTTACTTTGCAGAATGAACAAGATGAGCGCAACAATTTAAGGAAAAGAAGCAAATGACCACAGAAAATGCATTCATCCATTTTGACCATTTCTAGAGACTTTCAAGTTTCACTTGCATTTAACCGTTTGACGAACAGAAAATATTTAGCGAAATTTTCGATTGATTGGCGCTCTTGCATCATGGAATCATCATCTGATGTTCATTTGCAGAAAATTGATTTTCAGTTTCATCTATGAGTTCGCTTAGTGATGATTCAAAGTCACTTTTTATATCTGAGCGAATCTGAAGGTCCGAATCGGAATTTCGAGGAAATTTAATCGACTCGAGCTTTTGGTCTAATGGTCTTGGAAAGGTTAGACTCTTGGATGCATTAGCGATGTATTCATGTAGTTATTTCAAGACTGACTGATTTCTTGTCATTATAATGGAAACTGACTTTGAGTTAAACCTGGAAACTGGACAATGAAATTGGCAAAAGTAGCTACAATGGCAGACAATGGCTGGGAATCAAATTTCAAGATTGTTATTTGTGTCTCAAAATGAAAATTGAATTGCAATTTGCAAATGAGATGGGAAACAATTTGATAAACATTGACATTTGTAAACATGTACAACAATTGGAAAGATGAGGAAAGCAGTAAGAAAGAGGTTACAGAAAAGGTTGAACAATTGATAAACGCAAAATGATGAGGAAAGGAGCAAAAGGACAAATCATGGAAACAAAAAAAACACGAAAGGTAAATCAGGTTGAAAACAAACAAGAGAAGGAAAAGGAAGATGAAGAAGGATGAGGAAGAAAGGCAACAGAGGATCAGATTATTCTGGTTTCATGAGGGTAACCATGGTAACCACTGGTTGATTCTGTGTGTAAATCAGTTGGATTTTGATATATAATATTTTCACTTGGAGTTGAATAGGAAAAAATAGCAAGCCAGAAAAAAAGAGTGAATATCATTTGCTTTTCTTTTACTCTTTTTTTTTCTCTACTCTGCTCTTCCTATTTTCACATTTCAATAAACTTGGATGATAACAAATAATAATATTATCAAAATAAAGATTATTATTGTTAGTAAAATTATTTGTTATTAATTTAAAATTTTGTCAACTAAAAATTGATTAAAGTGTAACAAAGTGAAATGATTGAATGTTACACAAAGAAGCACAATGTAAACAATATTTTAATGGGGCAAGGTTAAGGGTTGCGGGATGAGATGTGTTCAAGGGGCGAGGATAAAGGAATGGCTGTTAAAGTGATTTATCACTGTCACTTGCAACAGTTTCAATCTTCAACTTTTTTTTCACTCATTAACACAAAATTTACAATCTCATCTTCATTTTGATTCAGGAATATCCTCAGCAAATTTCAACAAAGCAACCATTTAATGTGAACAACCCTCAGGCCAACTAATTTTATCCAATCTACTCTACCTTATCATCATCATCATCATCTTTTGTTGCCACACTGGAAGTCATTCAATGTTGTCTGGTTAGGCTGTTGGTGATGTATTGTTAGACCTAACAAGCAACACTTGCTGCATCAAAATTAGCTTACTAAAGGCCTCCACTTCGTGAAAGCAAACATTTTCATTTTCATTTTTTTCTCACTTCGCCTTTCATTACATTTTTGGCCATCAAAATTAATCTGATTAGACAATGATTTTCCAACCCAAAATTCATAGTTCAATACGTTAATACAGATTAACTCATAATATTCATTGTCACCCAAATCTTGTCCATAGTTTAATGAGCTGTTATGGAGGCAACATAATTCAATTGAAATGGTTAATGAAAATCTGCTTTAAGTTGGATGTCAGCATGAATTCAAGAGATTTAAATCTCAATTTATTGATGAATATTGATCAATCCCTGGAACAGTGAAGGTTAAATTATTTGATTTGTATTAAATATTAACAGTTGACTTTGCAATTTCAACTTTTGGTGAAAAAAAAATTTGACTTTTGTTGGGAATCGTTTGAATATACAAATTTACGGATAATTTTAAACTCTCGTGAGATGACAATTCAATATTTAACAAATCATTTTGTTTTTATTTTTCATTCAATTTCATTCATTCCATTGGATGAATAGCTTTTTTTTGTTATCATGTTAAATCGCTTGAATCTTTCCTCTGTTTATTTGTTTATCTTTTCATTTTGCTTACTGTTATTGTAATCAGGTTGGAGATGAAGGTTCCAAGTCTCTAACTGATTGCATTTGAATAAACTATTGTCCTCTGTTTTACACTTGTACTTTTACCTGTTAACAATCAACCTTTAATTCCCATTGAAGCTACACTTGGTACAATATAATCTGGATTATTGAGATTTCACCTGAATTCTCGGGAATTGCGATTGACTCAGGTTGCACTGAAAAGTTTTCAACATTTGTATTTTTAATCAAAAAATGGCGAAATTTTATCTCCATTAAATGATCAAAGATTTATCGAAATGGATTTCAGTTGAGATTAGAGAAGCTCAAGAAACATGAGAGAAAAAGATGGCAACAAATGTTCCCTGAAATATTCTGAAAGGTTCAAATATTATGATGATTGTCAATACTTTTAACAAAAATCTTGGTGAGCTTCGAGAAGCAAAGGAATACAAAATAACAAAATGTCGATGAATGACAAAAAGATGTGTTTTAACTTCAAATATGAACAAAAAAGTTAACCAAAAATAAAATTCAACCATTGACTTCATCTGTTGATTCATCAATAATTTACATGGAATCCCATGAATAGTGAAAAGGTTGAGTTTGAATAAAAGGTTTTATCAAAGACTCTAAACATTTTGCTGAACGGGAAAAGTTCAAATTCAGAACCAATACTAGCTACCATTTGAATCGACTTCAAATTTTTAAAGCAAAATGTTTTTGAATGGAGTTTAAGATCAATTTTCGAGAGCATTTACAGTCGTTTTATAAGTTGCTTGAAAGCTTGTAAATGCTTCATCTTTCATGATGAATTGTATATTGAAAAGAAAATCAAAATTTTTAGGAATTTATCTCGATATTTTTGTTTGTATCTTTGTTACAAATCATGTTGAACCATTGAAAGGTTGAAAAATGATTGAAAAGCTCTTTAATTGATTCCGATGGAGGAACATTCAAAAGGCTTTGACTTGGAGAAACTGAATTGAAGTTGAGAGATTTCGCTTTGCTACTTGCTTTTAAAGAGATGAATTTTTCATGAAAATTGATGTGCAAAAGAGTAAAATGTTATTTACTCAGAAGAAAACAAAATACTGAAAATAAATTGGTGATTTAATGAGAATGATTAATTCATAAGAAAAGATTACTAATTTTGTCTGAAAGCAATATCATTTAACAATGTAGTCGCAAATTGACTGGTAATCATAACCAGAGACTTGACGGTAAAAGGATCAAGATGTAGCATTGCAATGGCAGTTGATTGAAATTTTTCAACATTTTTTACCATCTTAGACACTTGTTACATGAGTGAATCAAATGATGAATTTTTCTCAATTTTGAGAGGAAAATGGAAATAAATTTCTGATTTGGTTTTGTTGGGAAATATGGTGATCTCGATTCATTTGCATGATTACACTTTTAATCGTTAATAAATCTTCATCTCAATGACCATATAATCTTTAAAGATTACACTAAACTGGAGATTTATCAAAATATTTCCGAATCGGATTCAATGATTATCAACCAGTTTTGATGCAAAGTCCAGCTTTTCATTTTATACTCAATGGATCGAGTAATTCATTTGCTAAGTCGCATAATAATAAGCTTAAACTCCCTGGAAACTGGATAGAAGCAGGCAAGTCTCATAAAATTTAGCTTTGAGGAGGACCAGAATCCTTCAATTGACTATACTTGAGTTTCATTTGAGGCAATCTTTTTCATCAGTTTGAGGTCAAATTTTGCTATTTTTGTGATTCTGCAAAACCCGAAAAGAAACTTTCTTCCTTTAGCTGCCATTTTAACTTCATATGTATGCTATAACTAGAAATTATTTCATTTCTATGACAGATTTCGGATTTAGAGACATATCGAATTTTAAAGAAAGATTTTGTAAAAATCTCATTGAAATGTAAAATAAATGAAAAATAAATACACGAACAATGCAAATGAATGAACTTGAAATGCAAATGAGACTCAAACAAGTAGAAAGGATGAAAACTGAACAATTACAATATACAATGTATATCTATAACTTTTTCATTTTATTATACAAATTTAGATTCAATAGTGTCAATAATAATGTTATTATTAACTCAATCTCTCAATTTTTTATTTACAATCAAATGTTAATTGCGAGTTGAGTTGATTTATTAACAATCTGGAACACTAGATGACACTACTGGCTTGTATAGTTAAACGGTTTTCACCAAATATTTGAATAAATTTGTGCTTAATTTTGTTTTAATTGTTTCAATCTTATAACTTGTTTCCCGAGATATTATAAATACAAATATGATAAACTTGTCTTATTGGATTTTAACAAAACATTCAAGCATTATTGATACCATTGTTTACTTGGAAATATGGTAAATATCTTTTTAAATTTTGTTTTCCTTTTACTTGCATAATGCTACATTTTTTTATTGAAAAATTAAATCATTCACTTTTCTTCTGTTTTTTAATATCGCACATTTTAGGATCCAGATTAGGTTTGGGCCAATTAATAGCTGTAAGGGAAAGTAATGGTTCATCAGTTGGATCGTTTACCAGTCAAATCAATTCATCAATCCAGGAACCCATTTCTAAGAAAAGGGAATCCAATCCAAATTTTGAAGAGCTACAAGTGGCTGTGTCATGTGAAAAATTTACCCAAGAACAATGTTTATCCCAATCTGGATGCTTCATTTGCCTTTATGAATGCCGCCCCAGGACTCTTATTCAATCTTGTCCAGAAAACATTGACTATCTTCCAATATCGTCTGAAAAAGTTGTAAATAATTTGATATTGTCCAATGGTACATTAGAGTTTTACTTTGGCATTCAATTTACCAATCCAGTAACAGCTGTTAATGTATGGCTGGATGTACCGTTCAAGAACTACATCAACATCACTGCCAGCTATAATTCCGTCAGCAAAAAAGTCACTTGTAATTTAACTCCACAGAATAATTCCATTGTCTTCCCTTTCTATAAGACATTTCATGTTTTCATCAGCGTTTATTTTGGCACCATTTACCCTTTACATTTCATCATCTCAGATCAAATGCGATTTGTCGACCCCATTATTAAGGAAATTGGACCAAACTCTGCTTTAATCAATCATCCATCGATTTTTACCTTTAAATTTTCACGCATCGCAACCAGACACATTCAAACAGTTAAACTTGTTTATGGCGATTCAACCATCGGATGTAAAATTGAATCCAAAAAGACAGTCAACTTTAACTGTCAATTCATGGTCGTCGGTTCTACAGTGAATTGGCAGTATTTAACGATTCACGTGGCAAATATCAACTGGTACTCATACGCTTTCCAGTTAAACCCATATCCAACCGTCAATCAGACGAGTCTATCTCAATCATTCCCTGGTTATTCGGTACCATTTCATTTCATTGGAACAAATTTTTACTCATTCAGTAATTTGGAGGTTTATATCAGCTACTTGAGTGGTGATAAAATGCTTCTTAATTGTACTGTCGTTTCCGATACAGATTTATACTGTTCAAATGACAAGTTTCCCAGTGACTTGCCTGCTATAGGAACTTTTGTTTGGTATTCCCATTCAAATCAGTTGTTTAATTTACCAGATCTCAAATTCAAGGCAAACCCTCCACCAGATTTGGTGACTTTCAAACAAACGTCGAACCAATTAAAATTCGGAATTTCTAACTATCATCCAGATTACTTATCCAATACAAGTATTCGTTTTGTATGTGACTGTGAAGCTAACCTCTACTTTGGATGCACCCAAATTCAATTCAAGTCTACTGAAAACCTTATAACATGTATTTATAACAACATTAGTTTAACTGGATCGTATGCTTGGACGGCGATCCTTTCGATTGGAAGCCATGAATTTTCCATGCTATTGGTAGCGAAAGCTAAAAAATCAAAGATTTATTATGTTCTCCCACTGATACCGCTTGGTTTGATCGGATCACTTGGATTAGGTGCTTATTGCTTTTGGATACAAAAAGCACACAAACTAAAAAGTGAAATCCTGTGGCCTGAGCCTGGAAAATCAGCTACTTCGATTCAAAATTTTGCTACAAAAGCAGCCTCAACTCACAGGCTGAATTCATATACAAAGTTCCCTGTAATGTCACGAAGCGATACCAAAGTAACTTCAAAAAGTCTAATAATTCCATCTCAAACAATTTATTGAGCTAAATTGATGTGTTAAAGACGATGTTTTGTCATTCAAAATCTCAATACAATCAAGCTTATTTGTGAAGCTGGAAATACATTTTTTGAGATTCTAGTGTGTAATGAATAAAAATTATTAATTGATTTTCATTTGAAATACAGAATTAAAAGTGTTTTTGATTTACTATTATATCTAACCAATGGTCAGTTAAATATTGTGATTTAACTCGATTTCAATTTTTTCACAAAATCTACAATTAATTGTATGAAAATTAAGCTAATAAAGGTACAGTTTTTTGTAATTTAATATACTCTTAATTGTTTAATATGTATAATAATAGGTTTTTTGTATAATGAGAATATTGATGATTATAAGATCAAAATTAAACTAATTACTATATTTGTTTATTTCTCTTCTTTTAGTTAACAAGTTAAAAGAAATGACATCTTCAATGTTTCGTTTCCCAAATGATCATTATTATTATATGTAATGTTATTTAAATTATTGACAGTTGGAGTCTGAGGTCAATATAACATTAATTTGATGTGATTTGTGAGCATGAAAAAATTGTTTCTTTTGCTTATGAAACATCATCATCATCATCTTTTTCATCCCACTATCGCCAAATATATTACAAGAACAAGAATGACCAAGGAAACAAGGATGATCCAAGTCAGGAAACGAAACACAAAAAAAACAGAGATAACATGAAATCTGAATTGTCAGAATCTCATCGCTGTATAATGACAGTGGGACCAAATCCTTTGTCTCTTTCAAACAAAAAGACAGATGATGGGACAATGAATTAAGGTACATAAACTGTCGTTTGTTTCATTCATGTCCATCTTTTGTGTAAAATGGAGGAATGAAGGAATAACAATAGAGAGAAGAAAAAGAACTGGATCAAGTCAATTTAACCTTATCCATAGTAATATGGCAATAATAATATCCTTCCGTGATTCATGTTGTTTCCATCTTTGACTTGATCATCATAATCATTACCATTATCAACAGCAAAAGAAGACAACAAGATAGAGATGTATATATATTTGTATATGTATATGTATATATGTGTATGAGTGTGTCATACCAAATTTCAAAACATAGTTGACATTTTCGGACCGTTTTTTTGTTTCTCGTCAATTTTCATTTTCATTTTCTCTACCATCTATTTTTACATCGCATCCATCGTCGTTGTTGGGTGAAATTTAATTTGAATGAATAGCGGCTTATGAATCAAATGACTATTTTCAAGTTTGCTTTAATGGTTATCCGAGCTTTCAATTTATTTGGCTGGAGAAGCGCTGATTCCTGCAGTAGTTAAGCTCAAACGTCTGGGTCTGGGTAAATCATATTCTTCCATTGAAAGAGTTCGACGTCTTCCGATTGCTCCAAGAGCTGCTCTACTAAGTGGTGCTGCTAAATGAACAAAAAAGGTCGTTAATTTATGAAACAATTAAAACTGATTCGATAAGACTCGAGTTTGCCTTTTGTTTTTTCTCATCTATTGATGAGTGAAACAGACTTCTTGCACCGCCTTCTGCAAATTGGTTTACCAGTTCAACATTTGAATGTTTGATTATCAAAATGTGTGGATTTGCTCATTAGAAAATTAGCATTAAAAGTAATTACTAATGTTTTACTTGACCAACAATCAGGCGTAATAATTATATAATTATTAATTGGATTCAAGTGTTAATTTTAAGGTAATGGAAAAAGTCTGTTCCGGTCATCCCAGAAAAAGAGGAATTGAAGGCTTTCTGTTTTCATCGATTTCACTGTAGTTGCTTGAATTACCTCCTTCTTGACTCTCTCCACTCATTGTTCGTTGTCGCTCAACTCCAGGTAAAGTTAATGAGGTTAGAAAACCAAGACCCTGATGAATAAAATTAAATTGAATTAGACAGGGCAAGCAAATGGTAAAATTAAATTAAAAGTTTAAATTTGAAAATTAAGACTAACTTTAACGAAAAGAAGTAAACTCTTGGCCAATTTATCAGAAGCTTCTTGCATTACATCGACAACTCCATCAATTTTAAGAAGAGACGTTTTTGATTTATCCATTTTACCATAGATAGTTATTACTCCTTGCATGTAAGGTGATTTACCACCAGCCACTAAAAGAATGTCCATATTATTCATGCCAGATAGTTTATCTGTAATATCTTTCCTATTCATGTAGGCTTCAACGTATTTGCGTAAATTTTTAGCTGAAATAGAGAAAAGAAATGAAATTAATATTTACAGGTTTGAATAGGTTATCGATTAATTGCTCAGCTATTCATTTTCAATTATTCATTCAATGAAAGTTTAGCAATATTGTTTATAGTTTCAATTTTTATAAACGTAATCATTAAAAAAGAAAGGCTTTTAGCAAATAAAAACAACATTCAAAGAAAATAATATTGAAATTCAATAGATGTTCATGCAATCAAGATTGTGTTCAGTTTCGAGGGTGAAACTTGCTAGATCATTTATGCGATCATTAACTTTTATAATGTTATATATTGCTATATAACTTTATAAATTCATTTATTAACTTCATTAATATTGTTTTTATTCTGATAAGAAACCACCATTTCCTTGTAAAACTAATAACACAATTATTAAAGAAGTATAAAAAATCGGCTGAAACTGCTGGAATGATGTTATTAACTATTGTACAAGATTAAAGTTGATTTGATTTCTACCGATAAACCCAAGTTAGTTAGTGAGGATTTCCGAGTAATCATGGAAATCACTATTTCAACTGGTTATTTATTACTCCAATGGCACAGTTGTTGATTAAATTTTCATCACTTATTGTGACAGCCCATGAGACCTCAGTTAAATCAGCAGGTCAATGGAGAAAGTCTGGAAATTCATAAACTTGATGATATGGAAATGTGACATGGTCAAAGTTGAGACGTGCCATTGGAAATGAATGTGATATTTCTCTTGTGATCTATAAAACTGTAGTTGAACTGAATGAAATTATGGTCACTGCTCAAGAAAGTTGCTTTGAACACATATTCAGTTGCAAAGGATACAATTGAGGTAACTAAATAATTTCTGAATCAGCTTGCATTTGAAATTGTTGCTGTTTCATCAGAAAGCAGATTTTAACATAATTTAAGCAACCAATATTGTATGAGATTCAACCAATAAACCAAGTTAACCAGATATAATTTATATTTCCCTTCAATTGTATTAGAACAAAGAAAATCTGGTCACCAATTGTCTGGAAAACTACATGAAGACCTTTACTGCCCATCCATAATATGAGTTCAGAGTAAATAGACGATCATGTGACGGTTAACATGGATGCAGCTCGAATAGACAAAATCCCAATGATGGTAGAGATTAAGAGTTAAACCAGCCAAAAGACATAAAACAGCAATTGAATCAAGACAATAGATAGCAAAAAAAAAATCACAACTCCGCAATAACTGAATAATCATTTAAAGTCTGAACAATCATTACTCCAATAACAAGAGAATTAACAGGAATGATGAAAGTTTGATTGAGGGTGAAGCTGCTCAACAAAATGTGATCAAGTGTTAGAATCCTTGGTATAAATGATTATGGTAACAAAATAGACATTACGATGAGAGTTGTTTAATAACTTTTGGTGAACACATAGCGAAAATCAATGTTTTTATCATCACTTGATGTGACAACACTTTATTGGAAATCCATACTAAACAATGATTAACTTTAAACATGACTCGGGTTTTGATGAAAAGCGCATTTTTTATTTACCTACTGAGCTATCAACAAAGAGCATAACCATTACTCTTTGGTTGGTATTAAAAAAAGAGACTTAAGAAGAGTAGAAAAAGAAAAGAGAAACAAAAGATAATTTAAACATAAACATGTGACCGTTGATTATTTGTAGAGACCCGAGATAATTGGACTAAGTGATTAACATAATCCGTTTATTAAAGTAAGTAAGTTGAAAAACGGTTGACATGAAGAAAAGTGTTACCAGTTAAAATGAAAAATGGCGATGTCAATGTTGAGCAAAAAGTCTCAAATGACTTGGTTGACTCATTGCTCATTGGGTAATGAGTAGCAACTTTTTGTCTTCCATTAGCAAAATTAGCGGGTTAAAGGCAACAGACAAACAGCAACTTAACAATGCTGCTTTTTTTCACAGCTTTTGTTTTGATCAAAAATATTGTTCCTCTAATGCTTTTATAATAAATTAATTATTTAAATGATAACTTAAATGAACTAAATGTGTCTCTAGTAATAATCAATCTTCGTTAGTTACCTCATGTTTATACCCAAGTCCAAAAAGAGAACACGGATTTTTTCTTGCTTTCTATTTGTGTTTCCCTTTCACCATTGATAAAACATCAAAGAGTAATAGCAAGAGAGAGCACGTCAATGAGAGCTATAGATAAGAGAGATAAGAAGTTAAAAGGTGACGGAAAAGAGGGAGCTAGCAGCGAGAAAGAGATTAGGAAAGAGACGAAAAAATGACAAAAAAATAAATGTAAACAAATTTTTTGATGAGAAAAAGTTGAAAAAAATTAAAGAAAAATTAAAAGGGTTGTTAGTGGCGCCATCGCGTCCGAGACCTTTTCCCTATCCTTATCTCAAAAAGATAATTAACATTGCATGCTACCTCTTGTTATACTCTTTGTAAAACATTCAACATTATTGTAAAGGGTGTCCCAGGAAAAATCTTCTGATCTCTAAATGAAATGCATGTTATCTTCAAACATCCATTGCCATCTATTTTTGTACGTTGACTGGTTAATAAGAGCCTAAAATTAGGTAAGTTTAATTTACTCCAGGTCATTATCAGAGTAATCAAAATGTTAATGTATTTAAGGCAAAATTGTTGATGGAAAAAGGTAACAACTTGATACATTAACATTACCCTTATACCTTACAATTGATAGTCTTTGCTTTACCCAGACTGAATATTATAATAACTTGAAGGTGTAATTAGTATAATTTCCAAAGTAAATCAGAGACTGTGTTTATTTAAGAAAATAAAAGGTAACTAATCTAATAGCCATACTAATCTCATGTTAATCTATTGTTTTTCAGGTTGAATTTTGAAGGCCAAGAAGGAAAGAGTAAAGACAAAAGATGAAACATCATTGGATAATAACGGTGAAAATGTGTTAAGCATGGTTGGAAACTGAATTGTATGCACCACTGACGTAGCATAGCAAGATTGAAATAAATCATTTGCAAACATCGTCTCTGGTTCGAACGAAATTACGAAGAAAACTATAAAGGTTTCAATTTGCCATATAATTTGCTATTTACTCTTGGTTTGAATTAACGAACAGTTATACCATGGGATAAAAGAAAGGTCAACCTTGAAATAATCAATGAATTAGAGTAAAAAAAAGATACCTTCCAGCATGTTGTTATAAAGGTAAACCATTGAACGATCAAAGACTCTGAAAATCTATAAATACATTTATTAAAGTAAATGAATCAAGAAGGCCTGAAAACACAAAGGAAGAATCAAAAGAATCCATCAGATATAAAAGAACTGAATCTAACAATTCTCAATCCATTTATCATTCTCAATTTTGTGACTTCCGTTTTACTGAATTTGTCTCCAACTCTCGATATAAACTAAAATAAATACGGTTGACTAAATAATATTGAATTAAGTGAGTAATAACATCATTTTTTGCTTCTGTTTATTACTATTGAGATAACTGTTAATAACATCTGTACTTTTTTCCTTTCCTCACCAAAATTTGATGTCCTAACTTGATTCAAGGCTCGAAACAAGATAATTGAATGGTACCTTCATTAAATGAAATCTAATTGATTGGTTTGAAAAGGAATGCTGTCGATAATGAACGTAACGCCATGGAGACTTGAAGAATCCAATAATAATGATTGAATTGGACAATAATCAGAAAAAAAGAGTTGAAACAAAGTGCTATTTGAACAACGCCTATCATTGCTTACCTCAAATTTTTAATGAGAGAAACCAAAAAGAGATAATTGGAAGAAACGAACCCAGAGAAGTGAAGATTGAAAACTGAGCAAAAATGAAGTAAAATAGACTCAATTGTTAACCTGATATGCATTATTATTCTCATAATTTCCTGGTTTCCTAACCACACCCAACAAGTCAAATGATAATTTGTTGAAAGGTTGAAGGGAAGAGGATAAACAAAATACAATTATGGATCAAAGGATAAAAAGGATTTCGAAGGTTTTCAAAGCATTGCAATTCACGAGGCAAAAATGTGATTTAGGTATTGAAGATTTGTTGCAATATAAAGTAACTATTATTTGCTTAAGATCAAAGTTCGTTCAATGCATTTGGTGAAAAGGTCAATTTGGACTCAAGAATAAGTGTATGCTGCAAATACCAAGTGACAAGTTTGCAGAAATCAAATTTGATTCAAGTTAATTTCATCAAACACAAGATCAAAATAAGAAGACCAGAAAAAGTAAACAAGATTGAAATAAGCAAAGAAAAGCAAATGAAAAAGCTTCAAGGGTAAATATACTTGCACACTCAATTGTGGTTAAGTCTGACTAAACAATTGTGAGTAAACGTTAAATAATTTCAAGGGAAAACTCAGTGTTAAAAATTAATTCAATTTAATCAATTTAATCTGAAATTTCCAAGAAATTGATAGCGTCCAAATGCAAACCACTTTTATCAATACAATTTCAAAATTATAACTCTACTAATTTTCGTAATTTTCTTTCATTATCAGATTCAATTTAGATTTTTCCATCTCTGGAATGGATCTTAAGAACTTGATTATCATTACTCCAAATAGTATAATGGCGTTTAATGTGCATCTATACTTCCACATAAGAAACATACACAACATACAACAACATGTAAGACGAAAAAAGGGAAATAAATGAAAAGGTGCTTTTCTTTTCCATCTTTTCTAACCATTATCATCATTTCGTTCACCAACACTACCATGAGCATCTTCATGCACATTATGGTGAAGCAGGCTGAACAAAAAAATTATGCAAAGTCATTAAAGAGTCAAGCAAAAGAAAAGGATGATTCAAAGGAGAAGCAAAAAAGTCTGATGAAGAACCATCAACATGGTTCTAAATATTTTTTTGCTAACAAAACTTAGAAAATAACTTCACTGGATTGATGTATAAGATGCAGGAGACTAGGAACAAAGAAGAAGATAAACTATGCAATTAAAGAAACTTGAAAGTTATATTAATGATAATGATAATGAAATTCATCATGAGCAGTAAGTATCTACAAAATGAAACGCTTCTAATTTTTTTTCAATTCTGTTTGTAATGATAATATCAGAGAAATTGTCATTTTTTGTACTCTTTTCTTTAACAGTTGAACTATTATGGCAAAAGGCAATATTTGTTATGACTGGAATACAGAAAATCAATTTTACCCTGAAGCAAGTAAACATTGGAAACGTCAATTTACAGTTGTACTTTGAAAATACAATTACATGGGAAAAAGAAGTGTCAGAAAAAGGAAAGAAACATTGCAACTAAAAGACTGTTGACCCAATTCTTTTCTTCAACATTCTTTTATCACCTTTTTGTTTTCCGATATTTTCTATTGTGAAAATTATATCATTATGGTGGGAAACAGTCATGAAAGGATTGCAGATGAATGTGGATAAAATTGTGACTAATGAGCCAAACAAAAGGATACATTTCGTTTCCATATGTGATACTGGACAGGCCAAGAAAAGCTGATCAATTGCAGAGAAAGGATTGAAAGGAAAATTGGAACAAAGAGAAAAAGAAAAGTGAAAAAAATATTGAATCACTACTGAGCCAAGATTGTGAGTTAAATTTCAAGTGATGAGAAACTCGACAAGTGAACAGTAAAGATGAACAGCAACAATGCCAAACGAAAGATAATCAATAGAAATGAGTCTTTTTTTACTTAATAGCTTTCTCAGAGGTTGTGGGTTCCTCTGTTGATAAACTTTGCTTCGTGATTAGTTTAAATATAATATAAAAATACAATTACTCCAAATGTTAGTTTCTGTCCAGCCAGGAAGAAAGAAGCTAAATGATGAGATTCAATCAATTTTTGCTCAACCTTTATTTGCTTGTCAGATAGCTATTATTTGATGTTATTGTCGATTATGATGAAAATTAATAATAATAATGTTACAATTAGGTTCAGCTAAACAAACAAACTAAACGTACATTTTAATCTAACTTGTTCAAATTGAGTTTCTCAAGGTATTACCATTGATATCACTACCAGTAATAGTATTAGCATTACCTTACATCAAAAATGTTAAAGTATCAAGAAAAAAGCTTAACTCAGTTTCATTTGTTATTGTTGTATCTTTTCCAGTGTGTGTCAAGTTTGTGAAAAAAATGGAGTAAACCCATGTCAAGATGATTTTTATTTTATTTATTGTACCAAAATAAGATGATTCCTATCTCGAGTCAATTAATCTTCTGTTAGATTTATTGACTTACAATATGATTTTGACATTTTTACAATCATATGTCCATTTTAGTCCAAATAGTCCATTCAATTCAATACTTTTAGCCCACTTCTTGTTTCTAATGTATCCTAATCTGTCTTATTGTACTAGATTTTTTCTCAATGCAAAGAGCCGCTGGAATGATAAGGAAATTAGCCAACAATGAATGAAATTCAATGATATCTGGAGGAAAACTGACAATTCAAGTGAAAAAAAGATGCACCATGAAAAGTTTAAAGAATGGATGAGAAAAATAACGGAAAAGATTCAAGATATTCAAGATTTTTCCAAGGATTCTCCCTGTTCTCTCCAATATAATATCCATAATAATAGTTATAAAATACAATCTGTCATAGTTTAATATTGATTCACTCAAGTATTAATGTTGAAAAAAATGAATAAGAAAATGAAATTGAATTTAAATTCAATTTGAACTAAGATGATATTAATTTCAACTGGCATTGTTTTTGTCGCATATTAATAGTTGAAAAAGGTTATTTTAATATCAAGTTTCAAATCAATTTCATTTTCTGTTAAAGTATTTTAAAGGTTCATTTTTTTTTTGGTTCCTTGAAAAGTAAATGAATGAAGATATTAATAATGACATTCACTGATCATGATGGTTCACTGAAATGGATAAGATTAATGAATATTGGGTTGGTAAATTGCCAGGAATTAAATTGTAAATTTATCAATCAATCCAATTGAATGATATTTGATAGCAATGATTAGCAAATGAAGAACCAGCTTGGCTATAATAAATTGTTTCTCATTCAGAAATGTATAAATAAATAAATCTTTATGATTAAACTGAATAAAAGTAATAGCAAGATTTGTATTTCAGGGGAAATATTGTAATACCATTGTTACTGGTAAACAACACATTAATAAATGACTTTGTACTGTAATAACAATTTTAATAATACAATAAAAATGATGGTTTCTGATTTAAAGACAGTCTTCAAGTCAACCTGGTGCATTCAATGTGCAAATGAATGTTGAGCTTGGCAAATCTGTAATTTTGATTAAATGTTACTTACGATTTATATTGGCAACTCGTGATTTAGTATCAGATAGAAGGTTATCTTCCACTGAACCTGATGAATTCCCGGTTCCACCAAATTTGTGTAAAGCAATAACCTGATCAGGTTGTTGAAAAGCTTCACTGGGACGTCGTTTACCAGTAAAAAATGAATCTTTCAGTTTTTCCAACATTCCAACTCCAGCCGTAACCAAGTGAATAAGCATAATTCCTGATGATGAAGGGAAACATCCATTAGTTAAATGAACATCAACTTAATATTAATTCATTAAGATAATCAAGAAATGTTTTCTCATTACGAAGACTCAATGAGGTATCAAGATGATTGAAATGAGCGAGGTAATGTTTTCATCAACTGACAAGTGTCATTATCCATAGAGTTGGTTGAATTGTAAGAAAATTGACTTTCATCATTAAGGAATAAAAAAAAACTGTTCTTAACTGTTCAGAAGGTTCATGCTTTACTGTTCAGGGATTTTGGGATTTTGCCTGAAATTTTGAAACAATTTCCAAAGGTACAAAACAAAAGTTGATTAGTAAACATTTTTGTCACTTGATTGATGCCATCTAGACAATCTTGTTAAAGTAAACTCATTTTTGATTGATAATTAACTTGGTGCAATAATTTTCAAACATAAATTTGATTGAATCAATTCCGAGCGAGTTAATATTTAATAGCTAATATCATGAGCAAGTAAAGTTGTTATTAAAAATTAATTTTCACTCCTCGTATGTGTTAAACAATAAGGCTTGACAACATTAAAGGTTTAAATTTTTGTTTGTGGAAAATCTTTCAATATTTTCTTCTTTTCTTTTTTTCTCCAAGCTAAATGTTCATTTTCAGAGACATGTATTTCCATTCAGTCCATAACCATGATGAGAGGTTGATAATGAAACAACAGAATAGCGACAAGAGTGATAATTAATCTTCATTCTTCATTCCCAAATGATTTATCCTCTGAAAGTGAAACTGTTTCCAGTCTTTACACACAATTTGCTGTTTTCTTGTTTTCTTGTACCAATGGAGTGACACTTGTTGTTCAAATTACTTGAATCAATCTAGTTTATCATTTTCATCATCATCTTCATTAGATTGCGCTTTCAACTCATTTTTTAATGGAACCATCAGTGACCAAAAGCAATGCATTAGTCTAACACTGTCTGGGTTAAAAAAATCACACTGAGAGGCAAAAAAAGAGGAATAAAAGATGAAGATGATTAAGAGGAAGGATCAAGTTGAAGGGATAACTGAAAGATGCATTCAGGGTGAAAAATAACAGAAGGTTAAATCTGGAATACGATATGGCTGAGGAAAATGTTGAGCACATAAAAAATTAGACAAGAGAATAAATTGAAGTAAAAGTTATCATATTAATAAATTGTGAAGGATAACAATTTTGGATCAATTTGGTATCTCATGGCATTAGTAAAGTGGCATCACAAGTTTGACAATTTTCACAATGTTTTCATTATGAATGGTTGTACAATATTTGCTTTTCAATATAAAAAAAAGCTTCTGAATCAATCAGTCGAAACAGTTTATTTAACCGATAAACCAATAAATGCAATTAATCATTAAATTTTCATCTAAAAACTTGGGGTAAATTGAAAAGGAAAGCTCTCATTATTCAAAATTTACTCGTCAAATGTGTTAGGCTTTTGAAAAGCATTTTTGGAATTTTAACTTTCAGTTTCAATGGATAAATGAACTGAAAAGTGAATTTTTTTTCTGGGCAAAACATTAACAGTCATTCAAATGATAATATTGATTGATATCATTAACATTCAGTGAACTATTAGTATTGATTGGAGTAATGAAAATCGCTAAATATTCCTTCAACCATTTTGATCCATTTTCATGGTTAATTAAATATCAACAAGTTATATCTCGATCGATGAAATTACACAAAGGTTGCGAGTCAATATTAAGGAACGAACTACGTTTAGAATTTGTCAGAAACTTTATTGTAATTTATCCATTAGTTAACATTAAATTAAAGCTATGGATATTTATACAAGAATCGGAAGAAATTTAACACAAAAATTTAGCAAAGACCAAATTATGAAATAAATAAATCTCGAAAACATGTTTGTCAGAAGATATGTGAGCTGGAATGTACCAAAGGTCCCAGAAGGCACAATGGCAGAAGGAACATAAGTAGGAATTGGGAATCTTGCTTAGATGTTGTACAAAAAATCGGAATGAAATTTGAAAAAATTGGGCAAAAAGAGAAAAATTAGGAAAAAAGAGATCTTGAAAACATTTGGTCAGAAGATATTAGAAATGGTATGAACCAAAGGTCATAATGGCAGAAAGTACAAATGTAAGCATCTTTATTTCATGTTATGAGACCACTCATACAATCCAGAAATAAGATAATATCGAGGATCGAGCGGCCATCTTAATTTTTGTCGCCAACGTAGACCCAATATCTAGGTCGAGGACCTGCCGGTAGATTATTATCTTTTTTATACTGTTGAATAATTTTGGCGACTGATGATTGACTGATTTTCAACGTATCACTGATAAACTTAGGGCCTTTGTCTTGCTCGTAATACAAATCAATTATTATATTTTTAACTGATTCACAGATTCTAGGGTGTTTTCCTCCTTTTCCTGCTGGTGTACACATGGTTAGAGTGGACTGGTGAGAAAGACTTCAAAAGACACAAAATTGATAATCTAATCGATTGCTCGCAAAATATCAGGTTAATATGACTGGAAATATTTCGAAAATACTTAATTCGAGAATGAAGCACAATTTAAATTAACACAAGTAGATCTTTGGTTGTAAATACTCAAGTCTATGAGAGGTCACTTAATTAAATTACAAACTAGATGAATAATTTAACAAATCATGAATGAAGTGTGGGACTATGAATGAAAGCAAGTTGTGAAATGAAAAAAGAAATGTCGAGAATTAAGAGATCGAGTTGCAGTTGAGGGAGGCGCGAGTTTAAAGGGCGCGATTTAAGAGCGCAATTTTCAAATTCTACAAATGGTTTTTTCTTTCTTTTGGTTTTACCTTTTTTATTCACGTCTCGATCAATAATACCGTCAATGCTCCTCTATGCCTCGATTATCCTATTTTCAAATCACTTTATAATTAACAATATTTTATGTAAAAACCTGGTTAATTTATAAAAATTAAAGGGGTAAGTTTAGGGGTTGAATCAGCAAGATGGCGTTGCTTTTTGGTTAATCTGTGTTCGACTTTGAAATTTGAATTTAATCTTCTTTACTCTTTGAATCTAATTAACGGCAGATGGAGTGTTCTTTGTTTTAACCGAAAATTTTAAATCCAATTTACAATTGTTAGTGAAAACATTAATTTTAATCCCATTTTTAACCCACTTAAATAATTTCAGTCGTTATTTTTCAAAGTGAATACAACTTGGACCCAAATCATTTATTTAAAGTGCTTAATCTTTCTTGTGAAGGTTATTCTGTGTACATTGAATGCTACATCTACTTCATCATTATCTCAGAAGCTACATGATGAGTGAAGAGGTGAGATAAACTGGTTAATAAGATTAATGAACCATAATAATAGTTATTGAAATTAGATGGTAATAGAACTGGTCTGTAACTGAAAAGTAAGTAATCAAATTGGTTGGATTGATCATTGAAGTGAAGATGATGAAATGCTATCAATTACATGCTAACAATGAGTACATTAACTAATACTATAATACTATCGATTTATCAACAAAATTCAGAGAAACTAGCTTTTTCAATTTAAAACATGATAACGAGTTTTTCAATGTCATTATCCTTGGTCAATGTTTGATGAGTTAATGGTGATAAAATTAAGAAGATTAATAAATATACCATTAAAGATGAACATCAACATGCTAATGATCAAAGTGAAATTAAAGGCAGCTTCAAACTCTCAGGAAATTACTGAAAGGATCAAAATTTTCAGTCTTCAGTTTTTAATTATCACAATTTCTGAACTTAGATCTGACTAAATTCTGGTATTAACAAAGCTCCAGAGTCTTGTAGTGATTTCAGTTGAAAAAGAACTGAGGATATAAAAAGATTTTTGAAATTCTCAAATTCCTGAGGTTTTACCAGTTTCTTGCCTTTTTGAAGCTTCAAGATTTTTTCAAGTTCATCGATTTTTTGTGGTTTCAAAGATAGATTATTTCATAAAAATTCCTAATGTTCATTCTTATTCTTTTCCAGATTATCCACACTTTTGTCAAATGGTTTTATGCTTACCTAAAGTTCGGGTTGGATTGGCTAAAGCAAAGCGAACCAAAACATTGGCTCCAGCACCTTCACCGATGCCCACAATCAGTCCAACCTTTAAGTGATCAAGAACTGTAGGAATCAGCTCTTCTCCTGATGAGGAAACCAGAAAAAGAATACATTTTTGGTGAAAAAATTAGACAGAACCAGAAACCAGAAAAGTAGCTTCAAAGGATTGCTTTGTAAATTTGCTTTTTGTCTCGACTGGGACAAATATTTACAATTAATTGTTTGATTAGGTGTTTACTTGGATTGTGTTCAACTCACCCATTTGTTGAATGCTAGGAAAAGTGAAATCATCTGGTAAATCATCAGCACCATCCTCTTGTCCAGGAATATCAAGATGAATAAAAATGGATCGAGCCTTAATCTCAGACATACAGGGTTTCTCAACGAAATCACGGATTGAACTGTTATGTTTGAATAATGTAATCAATTATGCGATTAAATTGAAGTCAATTAAAAACTTACGAATGATTACTTCCAATATCATGAACCGTCAGGAAAACAGCTTTTTTCTCCTTTTCTTGAAGATCACCTGAAACACACATAAAAGCAAAAATTGAAACCAAAAATTAATGGCGAGTTTAAACATAATCATTTTGATTTATGATGATTCCTTTTTAAATAGTCAACCATAATTAATAACAAACATGCCAACAATCAATCATCACTTGCTTGTTACAACCAGAAACAATAAGCTCAAGATTTTCATGTAAATTAGCGTTTACATGTTTTGTTCAAAGCAAAAAGTTCAAATTGATTCATAATCTTTCCATGATGCTCAATCATCTTTAATCAATAAATTAAATCACTTTCAATAATGGAAGCAAAGGATAAACAAAAGGCAAAGCAAATAGAGTCCGTCAATTCTGGTTTGCTATTGATTAACAATTGTATTTACATTACAATTGAAAATGTAATTTACTGTTTCTGTTTCACTATTAGTTTATCAACTTTATTGGGATTAATTAAGCTACAAATCAACAATAATACAAGAGCAATTAGATATCAGACCTGACATGTAAAAATAGGCTAAAACATTGGTAGATGTTGAACCAGAAAAAAGGCAAAAAAATAGTAGATCAACATTTCTAATTGAGTTAAATATCATTATTCTTGATCAGCAGAAGTTCACAGAATAATCATGAAAATTACACATTCATTTATTATTAATGATGATGCTATTATTTCATTAGTGTCAAGTGTTAGATTATAAATTGTTTAAAGCTACTGAATTTGAATATAATCATTAAGTTGTTTAGTTTGTTAAAGCTTGTTCAAAGAGTTGTTAAAACCTTTTGTAAATACATTTAAATTTATTAAAATTGAATCAATCAAAATTGAACCCAAACCTTTACCAAGTATCCTGACATATTAGCATGTAATATGAATAATATTCACTCAGAAATCATGAAATTTCTTCAATAGAAACAACCGGGATTGATATTCCCATAAACCAAAAACCAGTTTTTGTCAAATACAATGAAGACAAGATTCCCATTTTAATCGATGAAAACGGGGCAAATGGAACCCAAATCAAAAGATTTACCGGTTTCACCCAAAAAATTGTTATCAACTCAACCAGCTTTAAACCTTGGATGTTGAATATAAGGCAAAAATCAGCAGAATTAACAAATTGGATGAAATTATTGGTTAAAAATTGCGCGTCTCTTCATAGATTTAAAAGCTATGCTTACTCGTTAGGCCTGACATTTTTTTAGGTTTTTAGGCTTTTTTGTTGCCAATGTTTTAAACCTTTCAATATTTGATGTTGATGGCTAATAATGATTAGTTGGATTGTTTGATCTAATTTAGACTGGAAAGATTATTCCATTTCATCTCTAGTTTCATGTGATTAGTTAACCATTTATCTCAATCAATTTGGATAGTTGAAGATGAATTGTTGCTAAATAATTGTTGATATTGAATTACAGATGAAATAAGTCAACTATTAGTTAACTGTATCTGCTCGTCATTAGCTCATTATTAATCGATAAGTTTCTCTCCTCGAAACCAATCCATGTAAGGAATGATGAAAATTGGTATTAACAGGGAAAATATGAAAAAAATGCTTCAAGTTACTGTTGGTTTGAACACAAACAAAAAAACTGGTTCACCAGTTTTTGGTTAAGGTTGCAATGGATAAATTGATGCATAAAATGTAAGAAAGTTATTGAATAGTAAATAACAAAAGTCAACTTGACCAGCCAACCAGAATTGGATGAAAGTGTAATGTTAGAAACTGTATTTGGACAAAAGTATCATGAAATCGGAAACCAATTCATCAGCTAAACACATTTAACCAGATATGTGCATTTAGTGAAGTGACTCTATTGACACCATGTAAGTGACTGTCCATCAATCCTTTTCCTACAAAATAGTAATTATTTTTTCTTCTTTTTGTCCGATTCTCTTCTTTTACGATCATCCATTGAAGGGTCAACTTGGAAGCCTTTGTTGAATAAAATGTCCATTTATTCTGGTTAATACCTTTATCGAGTTACCATTCACTTTATAATCATTATAATCGTTTAAATTGCCTCATTTTGTTGACAATTCATCACTTTTACAATTGAATTTGATGACAATTTTTTTTCTCTAATTTCTCTAATTGCTATTAAACTGGTTTTGAAGAGACTTGATCGCAATTCAGTTAATGTTACAATTGTAATTTAACTCTAAATGGATAGACATTTTACCTTAATTTACATTTGTTTGAATTAAACAGTTGACAATTTATTCACTGTTTACATTGTCAAATGTCAACAATAAATCATTTAAATCAAACTGGGTTCATCAGCAAATCAATATTGTTTTGATTAGTTCATCTTTTCATCAAAAAATTGAGACTCTTTTGCATGTTCAATTTGCATTCAACCAAAAGGATCATTTATCTTGATCATTGTCAACTTTCAATTAATTAAATGGTCGTATCAATCAAATGTGACTCTGCAAGGTTAACAATCAATAAATTGTCCAGTGTTGAGCTGATCAATCAAACCAACTTGAATCAGAGTGAATTAACCAGAAAACATTTACGATTCAAGACTTGGAAGTAGGAAGAGTTAATCAAAATGAAATTCAAATCTAAGGTTAATCTCTTAAAGAATCATTTCTTTCATATTAGATATTAAATTGTTTTCTGGTTTAGATTCTGGTTCAGCTCGAAGTCAATTTTCAGTTTAATTCTCGCGATTTCAAGCGTTTCTTTGCTTTGAACTTTTCTTGAACCATCTTGAACCAGAAACTGGTAAAAGATGCTTAGAAGATGCTATTTAAAGATAACCTGCAACGAATCCAAATTTCAAGACAAGCTGTTGTTTGAATCATTTTAATTTTGTTCACAGTTTTCATTAAAAGTAAATTAAATCTCAATTTACATTATAAACTGAGAAAAGTGAAAATATCAATTTTTTGGGTTCAAAGACAACACAGTTTTTTGCTGTTCACAAGTTAACGAGTTGATTGCCATTTCAAAGGATATTTTGAATACATTTTTGTACTCAATCCATTTCATCTTTCAGATAATGTTTCCATGATTATCAGTGAATTCATTTGAGAAATGATTCTTTGAACAGTTTAACCATAAATGATTTATTTGATTACAATTAGAGTTAAACTCGTCTCTTGGATTAATTAATTAAATGAGGGAAAGTTGAACGGTTGAACAAGAGATTTTAATGAAATTGTTTTAGAGTAAAGCAGACAACTTGAGTAAAATCAATAGATTAACGTTGATAATGGATTAACTGAGCAACAAAAGCTGGTTAATTAAAGGACAAAAAATTGACTCAAATCAATCCTAATCTTTCAATTTCCTGTTAATTAATCTTTTGATTAAAACCATTAATATATTTTGCATAAAAAAGCAGCTTTCAATCTGGTTATTTGGGTTGAGCTGAAGCATTGAAACAAAGGTTAAACAATAAGAAATCAAGAAATTAAATCAACAATTAAAGCTCTCTAATGATGAAGATCTGTAAATTTAAAGCTAAAATTTTGATCAAAAGCAATGGACTGGACAATCTGATTGATCTTAATGGAAGTCAAGTGGCTTGTAATCAATTGACCAAAAGTAAGCAGATTAATGTTTCTAATTTGCTAATCATGAATTAACGGTTCAGGTAATGAAAGATTGATTGGAAAGTTTAAAGGTTAATTCCGAGTTATCCAGAATATTTCAAGTGCATTACTTGAGCAGACAAGTTGAAATGGAAATGAAATTTTGAGGAAATGTTCAACTTGAACTAATAATGTTTGTTAAGATGATTAAGAATGAAGAAACGATGAGAATGGAAATAAAAGGAAGATAAATTCAGTTCATTGAGTTTACCCTTTTTTTTCTGCTTTTTATTAACATTTTTGTTTGTAAATAACAACAAAATCAGAGTTAAAAATGTTCAAATAAAAGAGCTTCAAGTTACTCCTTTTATTCCCAGGATAAACTGATGATTTACCATGAGAGTGAAGATGAGAAATGAAAAGCAAAATCATCTCAAGTGAACAGTAAATTTAGTGAATTTTCATTTCACTTTTTTTTACCCAATTTCAAGTAAAATGTACTTCAATAGATATAAGGTTATAACTTTCATCTATTTCATGTAATATTTTCAGGTTCCTTTTGTCATCTTTCAATCAATTCAATAAGGTTGAGATAATGAGTGAAACCATTAGCACATAAATGGACCCAACAATTGATTAACCTGTGGGGAAAAAGTTTGAGACTTTTTGGTTTTTTTCTTATATCTCGTAAGATAATGGCTGAATTTTTTCGAAAATTCAACATGACATAGTTGGATAGTGTGGCTTTGATACCTGAGAAATGCAGAATTCAAAAAACAAAGGTCACTCCACAATCATCGTTCAAACTAGGTAGAGAAAAAAAATGTTCAAAAAATTCTCTTTTATACATGTTAAACTGGTTTCGTAATAACCT